CAATGCCTGTGACGGGTGTAACTGCTCGGGCCTACGTACGCACCGACAATGGACCACGTCGTTCGTGGCCCCATGCTGTGCGAACCGGACCGCCTCCACGGCAAACCACCACCCGCCCGTGCAGCATACAACCAACACACCCACATCCCAACACAACACAACAATAGATACACACACAAACACAATAGCACCCACACACCGCCGCCGGCAACTCCTAGTCCTTCCAACAATCTGCTCGGTTTGTCAGTCCAGAATATACCGTAACGTGACATCAGTCAAGTGCAACTCTTGCCTTGGCTGGTGCCACTTTAGGACATGCTAAGGACTTCGCAACACGCGAGATTGGACGAGTGACTATGTGGGCCCCTGCTGTGCTGGCCAGTCGCACACCTCCCCCGCGACACCGCCAATTACCACCACAAGGCAGCACCCCCTTTTGCACATTCCCACGACAGCCGGTTATACGTACCGGAATGACTCGGGTTTTACCCGACCAAGGGCTGTTGTTTCGGCGATCTAACCCCGTTTGGGTCGGCGAGATCCATCAAATGTTGCTCGATCGCTGGGCTACATCTGCTCCGTACCCTTCTGCTCAGGGCTGGTATAGAGTCTAACCCAGGGCCAGAAATTTACACCTGCTGCGTATGCCAGGGACGACTGCATACAAACTCCACCTCGGTCAGGTGCAATGCCTGTGACGGGTGTAACTGCTCGGGCCTACGTACGCACCGACAATGGACCACGTCGTTCGTGGCCCCATGCTGTGCGAACCGGACCGCCTCCACGGCAAACCACCACCCGCCCGGGCAGCACACAATCAACACACCCACACCCCAACACAAAACAATAGACACAAACACAATAGCACCCACACACCGCCGCCGGCAACTCCTAGTTCCTCCGACAATCTGCTCTGTTTGTCAGTCCAGAATATACCGTAACGTGACTATCAGTCAAGTGCAACTCCTGCCAAAAAAAATATATATTCAAAATCAATTTTTTGTGTTTCGATTTCTTTTGTGCGAATGTCTGCTTTATGATATTAACCAAGGTTTGAAAATGCTGTAATTTTTTCATTTGATTTACTTTTGCTGTGCTTTGACTTGGGCATGTATGATATCGAAAGCAAAGCAACAGCAATTCGGAAAAAAGCAAATGCTTTGGCTGTAGTTTTGCTGTAAAATTTCGAAAGCAACCAGACAGTTAAGAAACAATTTTTGAAAGCACAACGACAGCGCAGCGGCAGCAAAGCAACAGCAATTCGACTATCACTTGACCGTGAAACATCAAATTAGCAGAAATATGTATGCATGCACAAATGCACTACCCTTTAGTTCTACTGGTGACAAGAGACGACCATAAGCTAACTACGACGATGCATTGCCGATTGTTAGGCAATTCTCTAGCGATTGGTAATCGCCAATTTCACACCAGATAATCGCTAGCGAAAGGCCAAGGCAAAGGAACTGATATTGCAAATTTTGTGTGTACTCACTCCTGGCGAGTCAGCGATAATACACCATGCTGCAAAGCTTCATGTGCACAGGACATTCAAGCAAATCATAGCACAAGCAAAGTGCTCTCACAGCAAATCAAAAGCAGTAAATTCAATTTACTAAATTGTTTTCAATAAACTGCCGACAAAAAAGCAAAATAAAATGTTCAAAGTCACAGCCAAAGCAAATCAGTTCGAATGAAAATCAAAAATTTCAAAGCGAAGCAAAAGCAAAAATAGTAGTGCTGTTGCTGCTGTGCTGACAGTTTTTCAAACCCTGATATTAACGCATACGGATTACTTAGACACTTCAAAATGTTTTGTATGTATGCACTATTTATCTCTGCGTACGATGAGAGCTGTTGGAAAATAAGTAATTACCGCCTTGGCCTCCTTTTTTGGGGAGCAGACATGCATACAATTTGCGCTGAACTGGTTTTAAAACGAGTTAAATGATTTAACTGGTTAAATTTTCCAACAAAAATTGCATGCGATTTAAGTGGTTTATAGACACGTTTTGTTCATTTAACTGGTTCAAGCCCATTTAACAGTTTGACTCGTCAATTTGAACGTACACTTTAGTAACATCTTAAATAATATATTCAGTAAACTCATACCGGATCTCGTAACGCTTTGTGGTTTAATTCGGAGCTAAAGCATATAAAAAATAAAAAAAAACGAAGTCATTTAAACTTTATAAAAAATCAGGCCTGTCTTCTCACTACGCCGCGTACTCCATCCTTCGTCATAAATACAATGTCTTAAACAGAAAATGTTACAGGAATTATCGAAAAATCGAACTATTCTGCCTAGCCAAATGAAAAAACATCTAGGTATCCTTTTCCACTCCCACAGTTTGACCACATCCGTTTTCCTTCGATCTCTGCTGACAATGTTCTTCATTTGAAAGAATCTTTTAATCTTTTTTAATCGGTCCGGATGGTATTCCCTTCTGTGTCCTAAAAAGTTGTACTGAATATCTATATAAGCCATTAACAAACATCTTCAACGCTTCTGTAAAGCAGGGTGTTTTCCCCTCTTTGTGGAAGGAGTCTTGCCACTTTATAAAAATGGCATCAGGTCGAATAAGCGAATTATAGGGGAATCGCTAAGCTGTGCGCCATTCCCAAAGTATTTGAAGTAATCGTTACGGAAGAACTATCTTATTCCATAACGCCTGTTATCGATGTATCACAGCACGCTGCCTCAAGGCAGCCACGCTGGCCCACTTTGTTTCTTTTATTCATCAACGACCTTCCTAATATTTTGAAGTATTCGAATTGCTTATTNCATAACGCCTGTTATCGATGTATCACAGCACGCTGCCTCAAGGCAGCCACACTGGCCCACTTTGTTTCTTTTATTCATCAACGACCTTCCTAATATTTTGAAGTATTCGAATTGCTTATTGTACGCAGACGACGTTAAGTTATTTAAGTTCGTTGGTGCTCCAGGAGAGAGTGAGCAATTACATGCGGACCTGAATAATGTGTTTAAATTGTGTGAAGTAAATCTATGTCACTTAACTTGAAAAAGTGTAAATGTATGTACGTGTCGAAGACATGAACCTTATAGATTTCTCCGAATAACGCCCACCCCTAGCGGTTACAATACGTGGCAACGCTGGAAGGTAAGTAACAACCTGCGCCTGAAATAACCACGACAGGTTTTGCCACTTGCCTTACAGCTGCCGTAGCGATAACAGGCATTTTGTTGTCAAACCTCGGAATTTGCTAAACTCAGCGTACATACACCACTCCGTGTAATCACCCTCGAAAATATTTCAATTGAACTCATCTCTTTTGTAAAAATATCTTTAGTGGACAAACTAGACTAAAAATAAAAACCACACATTTGAATTGTACAAAACAAGCAACTCTTCTTTTTATTGTGCACCCTGCACATTCGACTACATAGTTGAACATGGTCCTTTCGTCGCCTTTGATATAAAGTGGCAGCACCTACAAAAAAGCAAACAAAGCTACGGCAGCCATTTAGGCAAATCAAATTCGGCAATTTTATATTTTACGAACGGCCGCGACTGGAAAATAAAATTATAAAAAACTAAATCGTAGAACATAAAAACTATAAAAATAGCACAAATTAGTGCAAATAAAGTGAAGTGAAGAGTGACACAAAAAGCATAGGACGGAACAGTGAACTAAGTACAAAAACTATACAAAAGTGACAAATTGATGAGCAGGCAGCCGTTTGCACGCGTTCGGTTGTCTCAAAAAAAAAGAACCAAAAATCGTAAAATTGTGAACTCAAATCAAGAACTTTTGACAAATAAACGTGCAAGAAGTAGTTCCGATAGTAGCAAGTCAATATTCTTATGAAGTCTCATCAAAAAATTTCTCGTCGTTTAAAGAATAAAGGGAATGCCGCATTATACTAAAGCCAGTCTTTCAACATAAGCTACTTTTCCATATGAACACAATATATCTGAGTAATCAGTTGTATTGGAGCTATATGTTAAAGTGAACCCATTTCAATAATGTTAAGGAATAATTAAGGTACTATCAAAAAACCGTTATGCGCAAAATTTTGTTAAAATAACTTCTAAACTGAGGGAATTATTTATAAAATAGTTAACATTTAATAAACTTTTCAAGTACCGTTATCTCGAAAACTGAAGCCAATCTGGTAAAACGGGGGGATGCCATTGAATTTAGAACGTCCCAATTAAGTGAGTTCAACTTTCAAAACCTTTGCTCAAAATTTACAACTTGAACAGCGTAATTTGAACCCAGCTTATTCTTTTGCTTACTATTTCATGTTTATTCCTCGTCTAACTTTTGAAGCACGTGATGAAAATGAATTACACTTATATTAATCGATTTATTAAGAGATTACGAATAAAATGGTATATAAAACACATTTAAAAATACATTTTTTTTTGGAAAGTTTACTTATACTTACTTAAAAGTTGGATTTATTTATAAAACCATCCATGCAAGCTTTAAAAAAATTTATGACATCAAGGCAATAAATGTAAATCACCTTAATATACATACATACATATATCTAAAAAAACATCTCGATTATCTTTTGGTTATTTTTGCTTTTTGCCGGCAACCCTGTTCGTCGTAAAAGCATGTTCACATTATTGTTATTTACGGCTCATTTGTAACTTATAAGCAAATCATGCTGAAATAAAGTAATTTCGCTTTGTAAAATCTGTCAATAAATTAAATAGAAATGAAATAATTTATCATAAATCAAGAACCAAATGAAGAAAAAAAAGATTTTCCATTTTTTTAGCCCCCACTGTTAGGGAAATTTGAAAAAATGCCTAAAGCTATGCAACCATTTGTTTTTTGAAATCAAGTACAAACCGCACACTCGTACGTACACGTGCTATAGAAATTATGAAAGAAAATGTGAACTTACTTGATTTATGTCAAATAATTTGATCAAAACAAAGTAATTTATGCTGTAATGTAATAGTTTAAGATGTTCGAAAAAAAAACAAATACCAATTAAGAAATCCTTTCGTTTTTAGGGATATGAATACTCCAGAAGCGGAAATCCAACACGCAATGTCTTGGAAAGTTGTTTGGCAGCTTTAGAAGGGGGCAAATATGGTCTAACATTTTCATCTGGACTTGGTGCAGCAATGACGGTGTTCTCAATGCTGTCCAACGGCGATCATATAGTTGTAGGTGATGATGTCTATGGAGGAACAGGACGTTTATTGAGGTAAACTTGTTGAAAAAAACAACAAACATTTTTCGGGACTAATACATATGTATGCACATTAGACTGCATCACG